TAATTATAATTTAGTTATTAAATATAATTATAATTTAGTTATTAAATATAATTATAATTTAGTTATTAAATATAATTTATATAATTTTATTTTTAATATAATTATTAAATATTTTTATAAAAAATAAAAAATAAAATAAAAAATATAGATTAATATTAATCTTAAAAAAATGTATTATTTTAATAACGAAAAAAAGAAAAACTAACCTGCCAACCAGTATCATCAGCTTTGTATAATTGTGGATAACGTTCCATTATCCATTGATAAACTTCACGTAAAGTTAATCTTCTATCCGGAGAATCCAAAATAGCTTGAGCAATTAATGATGAATAAGAAAATGGAGGTCTTCTACGCCGTCTAGGCGGCCTATTATTTAATTCTGGAGTAACTGTTACAAAAGGTTCTGATATAACAGTTTGAGATGTATGACTTCTTTGAAAAGGACGTATAGGTGGAATACCATGTTGTTGTATATGTGAAGAAGGTTGTGTTTGTTGTGGAAAAGGTGGATGAGAATGAGTATTCTGTGGTGAAATTTGAGGTACACTATAAGGTGCATAATGAGATGGATGATGCTGCTGCCTGCGTGATGGTTGAACCGGAGAAGGCGATGATTGTCGTTGATAGGCTGGAGGATAAGAAGTGGAATAATTTTGTTGAGGATAATATGAAGTAGGAGGGGATCTTTGTGGTTGCTGTGATTGATAATAAGGTTGTTGTGGAATAGGAGGTGGTTGAGTTTGTAGAGGCGACGTCAAATATGAAGGATAAGGTGACGCAGGATAAGGTGTGGAAGGAGCCGACTGAGAACTTAAGAGTAAACCACCACCGTTACCACCGCCACTCATGTATCTTGAGTGGTCTTGCCTGTCAACATTTGTTTGATTTCTATAATTAAAAGAACTAGTTCCTTGTTGACTTGAAGACAATAATGGTGGTAAAAAGTCACACGAAAGAGCACTAATGGGAGGTAAAGTTGGATGGGTAGTCATTTTAGGAGAATTAGGAGAAGTGAATAAAGGCTGTTGTTCGTATCGAGAACGCGAAGATATTGAAATAGAAGTTGCGGTAGACAACGGTGGAGAGTTACTTCCGATATTTATGATATTT